CTTGTTGCTCTGCCCTGAGCCGGGAGAGGGGAGGAGGTGGGGCTGGAGGGAGAGGAGGCTGCGAGGGGAGAGCAAGGGCCGGGCTCCTGGGTGCAGGGCACTGGGGAGGGCAGGCGGGGCGCTTCCACTTGCAGCTCCCCCAATCCCCAGAGCCGCAGCGGTGTTAGCTTCGCACTGGCAACAGGCGCGCCGAGAAATTTAACCCTCTCGGCGCTGCAGCCCTCGCCCCGCGCTCCCCACGCTCGGTGGCGGGGGGCGCTTGGCCTTTGGCTGCAGCTCTCCCCCGCCGGCTGTCGCAGGCGCCCAGCCCCCGGTTGCTGCGGCCCCCGAACAAAGCGGGACTTGTTGCTCTGGGCGGCTCGTGCTCGTTCCTGCCGAGTGGCGCTGGCCAGCCAGCCCTTGGCGAGCCGGGTGAGAGCTCGCTGTGGCTTGGGGGGTAGGGCTGGGAGAGGCTGAGTGCACTGGCTCGGGAGCAGAGCTCTATTTCTCCCCCCTTTCCCCTCTTTGGGCTTCGCTGTTGCTCCACAAGTGGCAGGTAAAAAAACCCACCTAATCAGAATCTCTCCACTACACGCAGCTCATGACCGAAGATCAGGCACAGCCCTACCCCCCCACCCACATTCCCCCCTGCCTGGGCTACCTCTGCCATTTCTAAACAGCTCCGTCCACTAGGCTTCGCTCCCTAGCGAGAGCGAGACACTTACCCCCAGCCTCTTGCTGCTGGTCTGTCACTCATTCCTTCCCTGGATGCGCGGTGTGCAGTGAGGACAGAGCTGCGAGAGCGCAGCCCTGGGTGCTGCTGGGGAGTCAGATTACTGCTACTTGTCTGATTGGGTTTTTGGAGTGGAGGGGTGGAAAGATTTTTGAACCATGTGGCAAGTCACTGGGTTATATTTGAACTCTAAGCTATTTCTCCTTACCTGATCATCCTCATAGACACGGTTTAAATGCTATCAGAGCAAAGGGCTCTTAAGGATGTAAACATAATGCAACTGGTTTGCTGCTGCTTATAAGCGAAAGAAACAAACAAACAGTGGCAGAAACTCACCTTTCATTGCAGCGGAGGTTGTAAAGTAATTGGAACAAAGAAAAAATTGGAAACAAAATTGTGCATTTCTTGTCAGAGGCTCCACTACGCCCTACTGCTACGCAGTTGACCTCTGGTAATGTGCAGTTGACCACCAGGCACTATTGTTATAAAATAACTCTAGGTACATTATTAGAACTAGAATTACTGCAAAATGCAGACACTGGTGGCAAACCCCTCTTCAGTTGCTAAATTCCCTGAAGTTCGGCCCATAGTGGGATCACAATGAAGAAGAAAAATGATAAAACTGCTGAAGTCAGACCACTGAGCTACGGTGAAATTCAGACTGTTCCCACCTTGCAAAGGAACCATTGAAATGACAGAAAAAGCTCAAGGTAGTATTAAGCACCAGGTCAATGTAGTCTTATTCTGCACAAGATCATTTCTGGAAGGGGTAAGTGTGAGAGTCTATATAAACTGAAGCTTCTAAAAAGGGGAGGTGAGGGGGAGAAGGGAGCTGGATCAAAGTAGCAAGAGTATTTTCTAGTGGGTTTTGGCCCTTGAGTACATTATATGCAGAATCTGCATGTTTATATTCTATAGAAGAGCTTTTTAAATATGAAATTGTATTATTCTAAAAACATGTTAAAATGAAGCATGTTATTAAAGCTATACGTTTAAATATTAAGTATGTGATTGCCACCATGTTCCAGTATGATCACATAGGGTTTGGGAAGTCTTTCTGACCATTAAAGATATAGTGAGATCTTAAAAGGTGATTGGGAAGGTGCAGAAGCATGGATGGAGCCTTAGCCTCAACACTTTGGACTGCATTGTCTTTTGCTTGGAGATTTTGGGTCTGTAAAGGGGTAGCACCCACTTCTTGTGAGCACCCAGTCAAATATGCCTACATCTTTTTCTTTGCTCATCCCTTGGCAAGGGGCCCGTGTTGTCCCTGTGCTTGCTTCAGCGACTCTGCTCTCCAGCTGACTCTCACTCTGGCCATGTGCGAAACAAACCAACCTCTTCTGGGTACACAATCCATGATGCCCCTAATATCCTTCAGATTTTTGAACCTGTCCTACAGGACCCTTTGTGGTACCCTCACTTGGCCCATCTAGGTTACAAATGGTCTACTCTGTAATGGAGCAGTTCCTTGGGGCTTCTGCCCTGGGACTCCTTGCCTCTACTTGAGTTCTCAGTCCCCAGCCTACTTTGAGCCACTCCTCTTGAATTCAGTTCACTGACCGCAGCTCCCCATAGCAATTCTAAGTGCAGCCTCCTTCCCTGAGATGGCTCATTTCTAATTTCCTTCTTTAGAGCAGAGGTGGGCAATAAAACAGCAGCAGCCTGCCAGGGTTAGTCTCTGGAAGGCCACCGCCGCTATATTTACCTGCCCCTCTACAGGTATCAGGTGACCACAACTCTCACTGGTTGTGGATCGCTGTTTGCAACCAACGGGAGTGGCAAGAAGTGATGTGGACAGGGACACCACTTCTCACCGTTCCCATTGACTGTGAAAGATGATCCGCAGCCAACAAGAGCTGAGATTGCCCGACACCTGCAGAGATGCATGTAAACATAGAAGTGGAGGCCCAGCAGGGGCAAACCCCCAGCAGACCAGAGCCGACCTGCAGGCTGGTATTTGTCCACCTCTCCTTTAGAATACAGACATTTCCCCCAAGTGGCTGGTATTTGGGAAGATTCAGTTTCACCCAGCACTCTGGGTTCCAGCCCAGGGACCTTTCAGTATAACAGCCTGGGTGCTGCACCAACTGCTGCTCTACATTTACCTGGACCCTGTCCCTACAGCCCATTTAGTTGAGTTTCAGCAGCAGACCAGAAGCTCCTTCACACCCCCAGTAGCTATCTGTAACTATCTGCTTAGTCCCAAATAGCATGCCAAGTACTATTCTTGGGCTTCCCCCATTCCTTGCCAGCAACTAATCTCCTGAGCCCTTTCAGCTCCTGCAGCTATCCAGGAGCACCTCTTATAAGGGGTATAAAATCTTGTTTAATCAGTTAACTGGTTAAATGTTACACTTAACTGGTTAACCACTTAACTGGCTCCCCTCATGTGGCACGGAGCACCCCCCGTCCCAATCCATGGTACAGCATACTGGGCTCTAATTGGCTGCTCCCTACAGCTTCTTTCTTGATTGGCTGAATCCCACACTACTCTAGACAGCTTGGAGGACTCTCTGGACTGCCCTTTCCTGGGGAGGTGTGGGGCAGGGTCACATTCATTCCATCACAAGATCCCTATTATGGATGTTAAAACAGTTAACTGGTTAAATGATAGTTGCTTAACTGATTAACAATTTTAACACAGAGCCTGCCATTGGCCTTGCTGTGACTGTAGCCACGGAGTCCCACCACCCAGCTCACTGGCCCCTCAGTGGCTGGGGCTGCTGAAGTTCACCTGCAAGGGCTGGTTAACCGGTAAGTATTCTGGTGAGCCTCATGCTTATGGGTGTGCTTACCAGTTAACTTGTTAACATCCATAATCCCTATTATGCTTCACCATGTGTAGTTTTTTTTAATACCAGTGCAAAGTAGCTGTAATTTAAAACACTACCAAATCAAACCGTACTTAAGTGACCATTCAGTGTGCATGGGAGCAGAAGATCAGGCCTACATATTTATACTAATTAGAGATAATAGTGAACACAAGATCATAAAATGATGGCATACCAGTGTTTTATCCAGCGTATCTATGTACCTACAGCCAAATGGTGAGGGGCACCAAATCAGGAAGTGCAAGAGGTATTTAGGAGTCAAAACAAAAGTAAAACAACTGATTCACAGTGCTTGAGTGTCTTGGTCTGAGAGTTTAATTTGATTATATTCAACATCAGTCAGCAAGCAGCGCAGCTATAACTGCACAGCTCTGCTTTTATGCTCAGTACATTGCATAAGGGTTTTTCAGGTCATGCCATTCACAATCTGCTACAGTCAGTGATTCCAGAAACTCAGCCTCCTCATAGCATCACATTAACACATAATCCCATTTTACATCCACACCACTCTATCTTTTTGAAAGATCAGAGCTGCATGTAGCTCCAGCATATTTGTAGAGATGCAGAGGTTCAGACTGGGAGTTCCTCCACACATGCCTTTATCCATGTAGCCTTGGCCCTGCTCACCCTCTCCCCCCCTTCCCCACACCTACTCATCAACAAACTTTTCTCTGCACTAGGAGACAAGGGAGTCCCTCAGAAGTAGATTCTCTGCATGAATTTTCCTTCCTCAGCAGTAGTGCTCACCTACACCACTTCTGCAGTATTCAGTACCTTCTGCACCTGCTGAAGGGGAGCAGAAGGGGAGAGAGGAAAGGCAGAGAGTTTGTTTCAGTACATTTCTACACAATTTTGTCACTGCGATTCTTCTAAGCTTTCCTTTTTCATTACTTCTTTGTGTTAATTTTCTGGCTGCTTCAGTCTACCACATACAAATGGACACCTACATTACAAAGCCCATCATCGTGACTGACATTTTTCATGGCACTATTGGTACAGAGGCCAAGGAAGGATTCCAGAGGTCATTCCAGATCACCATTGAGGTGATGCAAGGTAGTCTGCACACTCTCTCCACATAATGCACCTGTTCTGTTGCTAAATTGAAGAATTTCCTTCTAATGTTGTCAGCAATTTTCATAAACCCTATATTGATTTAGCAAAACAAAAAGACCACTCTCCCTTTTCTTGTGTGTGTCTCGTGTTTGAGCGGAGTGATGTCATATGCCATTCAATTAGCACAAAGATGAATTTTAAACAATCAAAAAATGGAAGAACTTTAATAGCCTATCACCACTATTACTCAGGCAGGTCTATACTTAGAGGAAAGTTGTCCTAAGATATGCAACTCCAGCTACATTACTACCATAGCTGGAATTGACATATCTTTGGTTGAATTTCTGTAGCGTCTGCTCTGCGGAATGTCAATGAGAGAAACCTCCCTTGTTGACTTCCCTTACTCCTCGCGACCTGGTAGAGTACTGGAGTCGATGGGAGCAGGATCAGTGATCGATCTCTGCAGCATTGATCTCCTCAGACAGATTTTATGGAAAGTTAGCAGCACTCAGAGAGATCTGTTCCTGCTGCTTCTATGTTCAGCATAGCTAAAGAATTATCTAGAATATATGGAAAATCCCCAAATTACGTTTATCCTGAATCCACCTCTGAGAAAATTAGTACAGGCAGTCCCCGGGTTACGTACAAGATAGGGACTGTAGGTTTGTTCTTAAGTTGAATCTGTATGTAAGTCGGAACTGGCGTCCAGATTCAGCCGCTCTTTCTGGCAGATGTGCATCATCTGAATGGCACAAAGTGGCAGGAGCATACTGGTGAATCTGGTCAATGACTCCTGGTGTTACCTGTGTATTACTGTGAGGAGATTGTGAGTAAGTCTGGCCCACTCCTGCCTATGTTTTGCTGACCGCTTTTCTTCCACCTGCCATAGGTTCTGTTCTGGGGTGTTCGGGAGCTGAAGAAGGTCCAGCTTCTCTCCGTAGACCGCCCACAGGTTCTCATCGAATGTGCTGGAAAAGGAGTTAAATCATCGGTCATCCAGAGCTTCAAGAACAATCCCAACTTCAGTGTCCAAACAGACAGGTTTGAAGTGGTGTGTACCATGCAGTGCTGCTCTCTTTCATGGTCTTCTTTTGGCTCAGCGGAAGGCACAAGCTATAGCAAAGTTTGATTTTCTTTACTTTTTCAGCACAGTTGTGCTGTTGCCAGGCCGGGCAGCTTAAGTGCTG